TAACCCGGATAATTAACTGACCAATGCCAGTGCTTGTTTTAATTATCTGTGTTTTAAGTGTTTCATTCGCTTTATAGCTGCTTGATGTTTCCAAGAAAAAAGAAAGAAGATTTAGCGCAGCTGTGAAGACAAGGGATTCTATGCCGGGAGGTCAGATAATTGATACTTGTAGAAATTTTTTACCTTCAAAAACTCAGGAGCACCTTCAAAATTTCTTCAAACACAAGTGTTCGGTGCTTTCCATGCCTAGGCTACATGCATCTAAAATGCAGTGGCCTAGCCCGCAGCAGTGATCGCTATGATGATTTCAGCTGTCATCGCTGCACCTCCTAATTTCACTCAGCTAACGACACACAAGAGTTCAATCCCCAAACCTAGCTGCAACCACGCTCCCCCAACTCCATTCTCACCCTTCCGCTGCCCCACCTTAACAAAATTCCAGAGAGCTGTTCACTATAGAGCCTGTAACATTACAAGACCAATGATCAAACCCCTGCCCAGAATTCCTAGAAACCACAAAGAAAATTTAATCAGATAAACGGTCATTAGATCAATAAGGCAGCCATGAGAACGCATGGATCTCATGGAACATCTGGCCTTGTTGCAAATGAGTAAAGACGTATTTTAACCCACTCCGGACAGCAAACAGTAGAGATTTCAAAAACAATAGCTAAAATTGTTAACAAAATTGACAACCGAAGAACTAAACCCAGAAGTAACGGAACCATATAACTCATGTAGATTTTTACCCTTAGATGAAACCCAGGAGTAGGACCCATTGGCATAGGAGAAGTTATGCGTAGGATAATAGACCGAACAATAACCAAAGGCTTAAAAAACGAACTCATGTCGCTCGGTTCAAACTCTGTCTAGGTTACAAATGTGGCATTGAGTTTACAATCCACACCTTAAGAGATCAAAACAGCAATACATCCGCCCAAGTTGGTTTTTGATAGATGCCGAAAACGCTTGCAACTCGCTAAATCGAAAGCTGAAATTGAAAACATCGCAAATACCTGTCTATCTCTTTTAATAGTGATTAAGAATTCGTACTTCAATCCATCTAAGCTTTCGTTAACAAAAGAAGGGACAGCCCAGGGGGGTCCACTAGCAATGGCCATGTACGGTCTGTACGGTCTAGCCATTATACCACTCATAAAAATATTATTATTAGTAGACAACGTAACTCAGAAATGGTACGCAGAAAACAAAAACGCAATTGTTGAATTAGGCAATCTACGAACCGTCCTTGACAAAATTGTATAACTAGGTAAATTTTTTTGGCTACCATGATAAAGCATCCAAATGCTAACTCAAAGTCAAAGATGAAAAACTTGTTGAAGCTGAAAATATATTAAGCAAAATTAAAAAACTTTCATTTGAATTCTTTCGTGATTGAAAGCCTCTCGATGGTCTGGGTCGGTTAAAATATTCAATCTAGAGGGGGTATAGTTTTCCTGCTTCTACACTTGGCCAGAGGTGCTGTAATGGGATAAATCTCTAACCCGGATAATTAACTGACCAATGCCAGTGCTTGTTTTAATTATCTGTGTTTTAAGTGTTTCATTCGCTTTATAGCTGCTTGATGTTTCCAAGAAAAAAGAAAGAAGATTTAGCGCAGCTGTGAAGACAAGGGATTCTATGCCGGGAGGTCAGATAATTGATACTTGTAGAAATTTTTTACCTTCAAAAACTCAGGAGCACCTTCAAAATTTCTTCAAACACAAGTGTTCGGTGCTTTCCATGCCTAGGCTACATGCATCTAAAATGCAGTGGCCTAGCCCGCAGCAGTGATCGCTATGATGATTTCAGCTGTCATCGCTGCACCTCCTAATTTCACTCAGCTAACGACACACAAGAATTCAATCCCCAAACCTAGCTGCAACCACGCTCCCCCAACTCCATTCTCACCCTTCCGCTGCCCCACCTTAACAAAATTCCAGAGAGCTGTTCACTATAGAGCCTGTAACATTACAAGACCAATGATCAAACCCCTGCCCAGAATTCCTAGAAACCACAAAGAAAATTTAATCAGATAAACGGTCATTAGATCAATAAGGCAGCCATGAGAACGCATGGATCTCATGGAACATCTGGCCTTGTTGCAAATGAGTAAAGACGTATTTTAACCCACTCCGGACAGCAAACAGTAGAGATTTCAAAAACAATAGCTAAAATTGTTAACAAAATTGACAACCGAAGAACTAAACCCAGAAGTAACGGAACCATATAACTCATGTAGATTTTTACCCTTAGATGAAACCCAGGAGTAGGACCCATTGGCATAGGAGAAGTTATGCGTAGGATAATAGACCGAACAATAACCAAAGGCTTAAAAAACGAACTCATGTCGCTCGGTTCAAACTCTGTCTAGGTTACAAATGTGGCATTGAGTTTACAATCCACACCTTAAGAGATCAAAACAGCAATACCTCCGCCCAAGTTGGTTTTTGATAGATGCCGAAAACGCTTGAAACTCGCTAAATCGAAAGCTGAAATTGAAAACATCGCAAATACCTGTCTATCTCTTTTAATAGTGATTAAGAATTCGTACTTCAATCCATCTAAGCTTTCGTTAACAAAAGAAGGGACAGCCCAGGGGGATCCACTAGCAATGGCCATGTACGGTCTGTACGGTCTAGCCATTATACCACTCCTAAAAATATTATTATTAGTAGACAACGTAACTCAGAAATGGTACGCAGAAAACAAAAACGCAATTGTTGAATTAGGCAATCTACGAACCGTCCTTGACAAAATTGTATCACTAGGTAAATTTTTTGGCTACCATGTTAAAGCATCCAAATGCTAACTCAAAGTCAAAGATGAAAAACTCGTTGAAGCTGAAAATATATTAAACAAAATTAAAAACCTTTCATATGAATTCTTTCGTGTTTGAAAGCCTCTCAATGGTCTGGGTCGGTAAAAATTGGCAAAAATTGCCCCATTTGAGGCACATTTGGGTAGAAAACCGAATACCCCACCATCGAACAAAACCACAACAAACTCACTTAACAATCTAAACTGGGAGAGCGCAAAACATGCATGTTTAGATCGAAAGAACCTTACAAAGCCCTCTTTGCCAGCAGAAGTTATGCATGACCTCGAGCGATGGTCAGAGGATGAAGTTCAAATCCGAAAGAAAGGATCACCACCTAAAAACTCAAACCACTACCAAGGACGCACACAAACAGGCATTCACCAACACAGCCAGAAACAGGTGCATACTCAAAACCTATAGAACTAGCTAAGAACAAACTTAACATAAGATATAAGGGAGTGCAACGAATAGTCGACAAAAATAACAAAAAACGCATAGAACAAGTGGCTCGAAAAATCATCCGGTTAGCAACAAAATTATAAAACCCAAAAACATTTGAACAAAAAATATAGAACCATAGATGGAACAATTCTAACCTACACACCACACACTGCTTGGGTACAAATTTTTGGCAAACAACCGAGGTTACTAAGACATAGCGGAGCCGCACTTGTCCCTAAACTGGTATTATACGGACCTTGCAGATCTTCTCGTTTAAGCGACTATATTGCTTACAAATCCGCACGGAGAACAGGACCATGCTTACGTTTTTTAGACATAAAAAAGCCGCAAGCTCCACAAAATCCCATGTTCAAGGAGGATTCCACAACGGGGCTACCAACCAAAGTAACAATGCAAGAGAAATCAGCACAGAGCCAGGGCACAAGCAAAGTCAGTCCCACGAAAAGAAAAGCGATAGGAAAACGGACTGGAAGAAAACCAGTAAGAAAACTGCAAACGCCAACAGGGCTGAGTCTCCAAACGGAGATTGAACAGATAAATAATAGCGCAGAAAAGGAAGATGATTCGTCGAAATTATTTGACCTTCACCAAAGCGACAAAATTAGAAAAATACACCACCTGCAACCGCAACAAGAAAGTCGACTAGAAACGGACAGGCGACATTAGCGACAGCACTAGATAACCCCATTCCAATCAGCACAATACAGACCACAAGTGCAACTGGGATAAAACAATTTGAAATTGATTCGCCACCTGAAAAATCGAAACAAGGTTCACCAAGCTTAAAATCTTTGACTCAGGAAATGGGTTTTTCGGAAAAAACTTCAAAATGTAAAGCTTACGTGCAATTTATACAGGCTATTAGTCCGAAACATAAAACAAGCACCACAAACAATGTGATAGATCTAACTTAACCAGCGGAAGCAGAAGATGAAACGATGGAAAATGACGACATATTTTGCGTTAACACGAAAGACATAGAGACAAAGCAAGGACAAGTAGACAAACAACCGAATAATGAAAAAGAACACAAAAAAATAGATGACAACATTGACAACAACACCGAAAAATCAAGAGGGGAGAAATGAATAACCAAACCAAACAGTCCCACGGGGACTTAAAAACTCATTTAAACTTTATAATTTTTCCCGAGGAGGGGAAATGTCATCCGGCATGGATAGATAAAACTCCAAATAAAACTTCTTATGTATTTATATATCACTTATGTTTTGATATTATGTAACATTGATGTGTACTGGTCGATTGAAATTGATTACAAGGACGAGAACGGCGTCTATAGAAAACTATGGTTCAGAACGTAAGTAAACGTTAACATTAACAAGTTGTTTTATCTTCTTCTCTCTCAAGCTCGACATTATCTAGCGGTATGACAGATGTGCTGCTCCAGATCCATGGCTTGGTGCAGTTAGCGGTATTGCTTCACCACCCAGCTGTAAGGCTGCTTCCATCTGGAGATGACGTGTTTTGTAATTTGAATTTTAAGGCAGGCTCTCCCGAGAAGTTTCTGGAGGATGTTTTGAGTGTTTTGCCTCTGACAGCAGACAATTGCTTCGAATCGGTTTTATGAAGGTTTTATGCACATTCCTTCTTGTTTTTGCTCATGTTGATGGCGTGGCGCAAGGGTAAAGACACAGGGACTCAATCAACCCATAACATCAGATTGGGAGTTTTATAGATGAAGAAAAAGTTACTAAAGACTTATTAAATAAAAATAAAAAAAATCCAAAAAACTCGCAGATGAGGAACAGATCCATGGTTTGGTGCAGTTAGCGGTATTGCTTCACCAGACAGCTGTAAGGCTGCTTCCATCTGGAGATGACGTGTTTTGTAATTTGAATTTTAAGGCAGGCTCTCCCGAGAAGTTTCTGGAGGATGTTTTGAGTGTTTTGCCTCTGACAGCAGACAATTGCTTCGAATTGGTGTTGGTTTTCTTTAAAATAGCTGCAAAGTTCATCCAGGTTGCAAGCACGGTAATTAGATTGATTTTTCCTTATGCTGTTCTTGATCGTGTCATGCCAAATTACTGGATCTTTTTTATGGTTTAAGTTCTGCTCTCTTCTATCATTTATCAAACGTTTTTCAGCTGGTTTTCGGTGTAGGAATTTAGGTTTAATTATGGTATTGCAATAATGTTGGGTAAAATTTACTTCTTAGTTTCATAAGTAAGATTGTTTATTGCATGAAACAGGGACCTGGCTGCTAGAGTCTTGAAGTTTTAACAACCATTTTCGTTCTGACTCAGATGGGCTTTTCGTATTTAATTGCTTAAAAAAATTATCAGTCAATTCAATTTTGTTTAAAACACAAAAGTTTATAATAAAACTAGCATCATCAGGTATAGACAACTAAAAGTCAAAATATTTACAATTTAAAAATAATTTTACAATTGAAATGCTTGATAATCAATTTTATGAGTATCTAAGAATATTACATAATTATTTTCAAAAATTTGAAATTTTTTTTTCAGCTATTTCGTTCTGGAACATATGTGCAAAAAATTTTCGCAAAATTCTTATCTTTTTAAAAGTTTTAATATGAATGACTTAATAAGTTTTAATCAAAATGTATGTTTTAATTCTTAGAACAAAAGTCGAATCAAGCTGACAAGCCTAATAACAGACTAATATTTAAGTATGAATCCAACAGCTATCATGAATACCTTTTCTTCGTAGCCTCACTTGTGACGTAAGTGAATGACTGTTACAAAATTTTACATCAGCACATGAAACCATTGGATCTTCCTAGAGTTGCTAAGGGTTATGTTTACTTAATTGATATAATACCATTTAGAACAACAATTACATCTAATCCAATTTAAAATTCCTGAAGGTTTTATGCACATTCCTTCTTGTTTTTGCTCATGTTGATGGCGTGGCGCAAGGGTAAAGACACAGGGACTCAATCAACCCATAACATCAGATTGGGAGTTTTATAGATGAAGAAAAAGTTACTAAAGACATATTAAATAAAAATAAAAAAAATCCAAAAAAACTCGCAGATGAGGAACAATCTCATCTGAGCTCAGAAGGTCCAGCGGCACACCACCCGAACATCCCAGGTCAGCAAATCTTTCCCCAAACCAGTGACTCACTTGACAGAGCTGACCTGGCAAATCCCTCAAAGGGCGCACGACAAACATTAAAAATATCGCGTTTATTTGATAAATTTATCACATCAATTAGGCAGAAAGGTTATTCCATGAACGCTTTAAAAATCAGAGAACAAAATTGAAAACCTTCCAAATGATTGTTTCGTGATTGAAAGCCTCTCTATGGTCTGGGTCGGTTAAAAAATTCAATCTAGAGGGGGGAATAGTTTTTCTGCTTCTAGACTTGGCGAGAGGTGCTGTAATGGGATAAATCTCTAACCCGGATAAATAACTGCCCAACGCCAGTGCTTGTTTTAACTATCTGTGTCTTAAGTGTTTCAATCGCTTTACAGCTGCTTGATGTTTCCAAGAAAGAAAGAAGATTTAGCTCAGCTGTGAAGATAAGGGATTCTATCTCGTAGGGTTTTTTTAATTTCAAAAACTCAGGAGCACCTTCAAAATTTCTTCAAACACAGGTGTTCGGTGCTTTCCATGCCTAGGATACATGTATGTAAAATGCAGCGGCCTAGCCCGCAGCAAGGATCGCTATGATGATTTCAGCTGTCATCGCTGCACCTCCTAATTTAACTCAGCTAACGACACACATGAATTCAATCAACAACCCTAGCTGCAACCACGCTCCCCCAACTCCATCCTCATCCTTCCGCTGCCCCACATCAACAAAATTCCAAAGAGCTGTCCACTATAGAGCCTGTAACAACACAAGACCGATGATCAAACCCCTGCCCAAAAATCCTAGAAACCACAAGGAAACTTTAATCAGATAAACGGTCAACAGATCAATAAAGCAGCCATGAGAACGCATGGATCTCATGGAACATCTGGCCTTGTTGCAAATGAGTAAAGACGTATTTTAACGCACTTCGGACAGCAATTAGTAGAACATTCAAAAACAATAGCTAAAACTGTTAATAAAATTGGCGACCGAAGAACTAAACCCAAAAGTTACGGAACCATATAACTCATGCAGATTATTACCCTTAGATAAAATCCAGGAGTAGGACCCATTGGCATAGATGAAATTATGCGTATGATAATAGATCGAACAATAACCAAATGCTTAAAAAACGAACTCATGTCGCTCGGTTCAAACTATCAACTCTGCCTAGGACACAAATGTGGCATTGAATTTACAGTCCAGACGTTAAGAGGTCGATACAGCAAAACCTCCGTCGAAGTTGTTTTTTGATAGAGTCTGAAAACGCTTGCAACTCGCTAAATCGAAAGCTGAAATTGAAAAACATCGCAAATACCTGTCTATCTCTTTTAATAGTCATTAACAATTCGTACTCCAATCTATCTTAGCTTTTGTTAACAAAAAAAACATCTACTTTCAGGAAGGGACAGCCCAGGGGGATCCACTAGCAATGGACATGTACGGTCTGTACGGTCTAGCCTTTATACCCTTGATAAAACTCTTATTAGTAGACAACGTAACTCAGAAATGGTACGCAGACAACAAAACCGCAGTTGGTGAATTGAGCAATCTACGAACCGTCCTTGACAAAATTGTATCACCAGGTTAATTTTTTGGCTACCATGTTAAAGCATCCAAATGCTAACTCAAAGTCAAAGATGAAAAAATCGGTGAAGCTGAAATTTTTTTTGAAAACACAGGAATCACTATAAAAGTTGGCGCCCCAGTGCTTGGCTCTACTATAGAAACATAATCTTAATGTAAACAGTTCCTCGAGTTTCAAAAGAATGAACAAACGAAATTTTTGAAAAAATATAACAAAAATCGCAAAAAGCTCCCTCCAAAACGCTTATGCCTGCTATACTGAATGACTTCAAGAAAAAACTGAATTGTAACCAGGACAACGCCTAACACTATGGAAAACTTGGAAACATGTGAAAAGCTTGTCGTAGATCAACTAATACCTGACCTAGTCAGTAAAAATATTTCAAACCCCCAGTTCCGTGAGATATCTTCCCCAACCTTTAAGATGTGAGGCCTTAACAACATGTTTCCATTCGACCATGAAAGCAACCTATAATGGTCTAAGGAAACATTCCTTGTACTGCAATTTGAAGATCATGTTACACCAATAACATAGCCTTGTTCGGAAATTAAAAAAATAAAAACTGATTGAAAAAACTCTAGAAGAAACAAACCACATTAACTCCTCAAACGAAGCTGATATATACCGAATCGACCTGGCCTCTGAAAGGAAAGTCTTTCTGGCTCAAGGCCTTGCCACTAAGCAGATACAACTACAACCTGATTAAATCAGATTTCAGAGATGGCTTTTACTTAAGATACGGATGGGAACCGACCAAAGCATCACTCGCGTGTACATTTGGTGCAAGTTTTAACTTGACACAAGCCCTACGCCGTGCACGGGCAGCTACACACACATAAGAAACAATAAAATTAGAGGTACATTCGCCAGCCTCACAAACGAAGTTTGTCGTGATGTCGAGATTGAGCCTAAACTTCAGCTGTTGCAAGGCGAAAGCTTTGTTTGTCATCAATTCATTAGAAAGGAGATGGGGCACGACTTGACATTAAAGCAATCGGACTCTGCCTTCACGATTTAGCCGCGTTTTCTTGGCGCTGCTGCAACCATGGAATGCATATATAACGATGAAAAGATATCGATATATGTCGCATTCCCTGATTGGAGCAATGAATGGTTATCGATATTCGATACAAATAATAATATCTTGGACAGGCAGTTTCTGATATAAATATCGATATTGATATATTTTTTGACGCGGTAATGACATATTTTTCATAAAAATGAAAAATTTTGCAATATTTTAGATGTTTTTGATTATTTGGTGTTTTTAATTTCAACTTTGGCAAATAAAAAGTTTGACAAGTTTTCACGAAGTTATAACACATTTTTTTTTTCGAATGGATGCATTTTTTCTGTGTCGGTGGCAATAAAAACTAGTTCATTTCATTTTTGAGCAAAGTGTCGATATTCGATATTTCAATTCAAATATCGAAGAATATCGATATACAAATACTGTCATGATTTCGTGAAAAAAAATGAAAAAAGACAAAAAAGCTACCCAGAATCGATAAACTACATAAGAACTAAAATAAGCTTCGCGCTGCTGAGGAGCTCTATACTTTGTATAAGGGGGTGCAGGTCGCTGCTCAAAGTTTAATTTATCGACAACTCTATTAGCGCTATAAGAGTTTTTTAAAATTGTTAATTCAAACGTTTTCGCACATTTTGTGCATCGTCAGGATATAAAATTTTTTATTTACAATAAAATGATCAAAGATCATGTATGAAATTCAAAAAGAACATGTTAGAATTTTTTAACCAATCACATTCTTACATCTGTTATTACGTAATCATTATTTCATCGATTATGACAATTTCCATACTTTTTTGTTACTTGAGTCATAATTTTTCAATTTGATGTTTTATCCAAACTGACATGTCAGTTTTTTTTTCTTCAAAAATTGCAATTTTTAGTCATGTTTAAACATGTACTATAATTTTAATGTCAGCTCCCTGCTCCTGAACTCCTCGCGCGTGTTAATTCTGGGGCGTTCTTTCCAAATATGTAAGGCCTCCAGAGTGAGGAGTTTCTGTATGTTACTTGATTGATCTATAATCTCAGACTTAAGCTCAGCG